GTTCTGATTTTTCCTTTCTCATTTCTGATTCTGTTTATGTGTGTAGATTCTCTTTTTCTCTTAATAAGTCTGGCTAGTGGTTTATCTGTTTTGTTTATTTTCTCAAAGAACCAGCTCTTGGTTTCATTGATTTTTTTCTATTGTTTTATTCTTCTCAATTTTATTTATTTCTCCTCTGATCTTTATTATGTTCCTCCTTCTGCTGACTTTGGGCCTCATTTGTTCTTCTTTTTCCAGTTTCAATAATTGTGACTTTAGACTGTTCGTTTGGGATTGTTCTTCTTTCTTTAAATAGGCCTGTATTACAATATACTTTTCTCTTAGAACTGCCTTCACTGCATCCCACAGAAGTTGGGGCTTTGTTCTGTTGTTGTCATTTTTCTCCATGTATTGCTTGATCTCTGTTTTAATTTGGTCATTGATCCATTGATTATTTAGGAGCATGTTGTTAAGCCTCCATATGTTTGTGAGCCTTTTTGTTTTCTTTGTACAATTTATTTCTAGTTTTATACCTTTGTGATCTGAGAAGTTCATTGGTGTGGCGTAGTATGTGGTTTATTCTGGAAAATGTTCCATGTGCACTTGAGAAGAATGTGTATCTGCTGCTTTTGGGTGTAGAGTTTTGTAGATGTCTGTTAGGTCCATCTGTTCTAGTGTGTTGTTCAGTGCCTTTGTGTCCCTATTTTCTGTCTGGTTGATCTGTCCTTTGGAGTGAGTGGTGTGTCTCCTAAGATGAATCCATTGCATTCTATTTCCTCCTTTTAATTCTGTTAGTATTTGTTTCACATATGTTGGTACTCCTGTGTTGGGTGCATATATATTTATAATGGTTATATCCTCTTGTTGGACTGACCCCTTTATCATTATGTAATGTCCTTTATCTCTTGTTACTTTGTTTTGAAGTCTATTTTGTCTGAGATAAGTACTGCAACACTTGCTTTTTTTCCCCCATTGTTTGCATGAAATATCTTTTTCCATCCCTTCACTTTTACTATGTCTTTGGGTTTGAGGTGAGTCTCTTGTAAGCAGCATATAGATGGGTCTTCCTTTTTTATCCATTCTATTACTCTGTGTCTTTTGATTGGTGCATTCAATCCATTTACATTTAGGGTGATTGTCAATAGATATGTACTTGTTGCCATTGCAGGCTTTGGATTCATGGTTACCAAAGATTCAAGGGTAGCTTCTTTACTGTCTAACTGTCTAACTCTCTTACTAAGCTGTTATAAACATAGTCTGATGATTCTTTATTTCTCTCCCTTCTTATTCTTCTTTCTCTATTCTTTATATGTTAGGTGTTTTATTCTGTACTCTTTTGTGTTTCCTTTGACTGTTTTGGGGGATAGTTGATTTATTTTTTGCCTTTAGTTAGTATTTGGTTGGTCTGCTTTCTTTTCTCTGATTTTATTTTCTCTGGTGACATCTATTTAGTCTTAGGAGTGCTTGCTTCCATCTAGAAGAGTCCCTTTAAAATACCCTGTAGAGGTGATTTGTGGGAGGCAAATTCCTTCAACTTTTGCTTGTATGGACATTGTTTAATCCCTCCTTTAAATTTAAATGATAACCATGCTGGATACAGTATCCTTGGTCCAAGACCCTTCTGTTTCATTGCATTAAATATATCATGCCATTTTCTTCTGGCCTGTAAGGTTTATCTTGAGAAGTCTGATGATAGCCTGATGGGTTTTCCTTTGTAGGTGATCTTTTTTCTGTCTGCCTTTAATAGTGTGTCCTTGTCTTTGATCTTTGCCATTTTCATTATTATATGTCTTGGTGTTGTCCTCCTTGGGTCCCTTGTGTTGGGAGATCTGTGGGCTTCCATGGTCTGAGAGACTATGTCCTTCCTTACTTGGGGAAGTTTTAAGCAATTATTTCTTCAAAGACACTTTCTATCCCTTTTTTTCTCTTCTTTTGGTACCCCTATAATGTGATATTGTTCTACTTGGATTGGTCACACAGTTCTTTTAATATTCTTTCATTCCTAGAGATCCTTTTATTTCTCTCTGCCTCAGCTTCTCTGTATTCCTGTTCTCTGATTTCTATTCCATAAACAGTCTATTGCACCTCATCCAGTCTGCTCTTAATCCCTTCTATTGATTGTTTCATTTCTCTTATCTCCCTCTAGACTTCATCCCTTAGGTCTTGCATATTTTTCTGCAGGTCCATCAGCATGGTTATGACTTATATTTTGATTTGTTTTTCAGGAAGATTGGTTATATCTATCTTACCAGGCCCTCTCTCTGGGGTTGTCTGAGTGATTTTTGACTGGACCATATTCTTCTGCCTTTTCATGGTGATATAAGTGGTTGCAGGCAGGTGGCACATGTGTCAGCTGGGAGAACAAAGTCCGTTCTTGCTTGTTGGTTGCCCTGCCCTTCTCTTCTGCCTGTACCAGTTACCCGCACACTGAGAGCAGACTCTGGGACAATCTCCTGAGCTGTCATGGGCGGGGCTGGCTCTAGGCTAGCCTAGAGCACTGCCGGGAGTCAGAGCTGCACCAGGTGTGTGTTCTCTTGCAAAAACGGTTCCCCTTTGTGCCTTCCGGACCTTGCTCTGGCTTCTGCTGCCTGTACCAGTTAGCTGCACACTGGGCGGAGACTCTGTGTGGTTGCTGTGGGCAGGGCCGCTTTCCAGCTGCTCCACAGCTGTGGCGGGTCTGCCAGTTTGCTTGTAGCACTGGCCAGAGTGAATGAATGGCAGGCTGCTTATCACCATGAGGGGTTTTGGGGCTGCTTTACCCCCCAGAGAGGCTTAGAGGGCCCAAAGTTCTTCAAGATTCCCAGCCTGCTGGGCTGAGTGTGCTGGGACAATTTTGTTCAGCTGTTGAGCCCTTGTCCCTTTAAGAATTTTGAAAAGTGCCTGCTTTTCTTTTGTCCCAGGGGAGCTGGCTCTGGGGACCTGCTTGCAGTCTCTGTCTCGGACCCTACCCTTCCATTTCTCTTAATATCCAGGACACCATGCAATGTGTGCCTGTGCTCCCAGTGCAGATTACTAGGTCTGGTTATTTAGCAGTCCTGGGCTCCCTCTCCCTCCCAAGTCCGACTGCTTTCCTCCCGCCGGTCAGCTGGGGTGGGAGGAGTGCTTGGGTCTCGCTGGGTCACATCTTTGAATCTCACCCCCTTCATGAGATGCTGGGTTCTCGCAAATGTAGATGTAGCCTGGCTGTTGTACTGTATCCTCTGGTCTCTCTTTTAGGACTAGTTGTATTTGTTGTATTTTCAAAAATATATATGGTTTTGGGAGATTCCACTGCCCTATTCACACCGCCATCTTGAGCCGAAATTCTATCCCCTTTCTTTTGCTGAGTAGTAATTCCACTGCATATGTACCACAGTATGTTTATCCTTCTATTGATGGACATTTGGATTATTTCCAGTTTTGGGTAAAATAAGGTGGATTATGTAGCCAAACTGAAAAACCTGTTTCCAATTATTTTTGTATACAAAAGTTTTTCTAAGTAAGAATATTTAACCTAACTCTAAAATAGAAACATCTAACTGCCCATGGAATTTTCCATCTTTAATGGGAGTAACCAAAACTATTGAGATGAGCTGTTCCAAAAACCTACACAAATAATAACCTGGCCTCTTTCTGTCAGGACACAGATCCTGGAGTGCCTTCCTCCTGATGTCTGCTCATAGGTTGACCCTGGCACCTTCATCCATAATCCCCATAGTGGGCCCTCCAGCAAATGGTTTTGGAGCAAATGATTTGTGTGGCTGATGAGGACCTGCCTTATTCTGGGATGTGACTGCTGGGTCCACGCATGTGCTTTGCTGATGAGCCTTGATTTCTGCCTCAGATTAGAAAACTGAAGCTGCAGTTGGATGAAGAACGGCAGAGCTGCTCCAAGAATGGCGGCACTGGGGGTGACCTGGCAGGACTTCAGAATGGCTCAGACTTGCAATTCATCGAACTGCAGAGTAGGTAGTGGGGACAGGCCATCCCCATCTGTATGTAGGCTGTATTCCAGACGAATTGTCAGCAGACTAGCCTTGTGATTCACATTGTCAAGAGGAGCAGATTATAGACATTGGTTAGTCTTCGGCAAAACCTTGTTCCACTGGAGCTGAGTAGGGGCTTCTAGCCTGGGTGCTACAGGGGTGGAGGGGCCCAAGTTAGTGTTTTCCCTCCCTCTGAGCAAAATGATTTCCATAACATTTTGCAAATAGTGACATTGACACTGACTCTTCCACACCCATATCAGCTTTAAGCTCCCATGCAGCACCATTCCTAATAGCTTTATGGGGAAATTTATCTTGGATGATTGGTGAAATATATTTGGAACTCACACTAAAGTTGTTTCAGAATCTTCCCAGTTTTCTTGTTAATCCAACTTAATCTTTATTAGATGGAATTTTGAACAAGGCCACAAAGCCTATTCAGTTTACCTAAATTATTCCAGTTTTTCCCCCTTTCTACTTTTGACCCAAATTATTTAAAAATGCTTACTGCATTCACAGTAATTTTCATGGTAGGGAGAGTTCAGCAGCCCTTTGTATATAATTAGTAATGTTATCATGCGTGGACAGGGAAGACTTCCATATTTCCAGTTTGAATAGTAGCTTTTCTGATAACTTGTTTAAAAATACTGATTATTCATTCCATGGCCTTTTTATTTAAGTATTCTGAGTTACACTAAATACAAAGGACTTCTTAGATTAAGGCTTATTAATACTAACTTTTGAGGTTAGTGTCATTTCCTCTACTGGCTATCAGTCATGACTTGGTGACACTTCCTGGTGAGTATTTTGTCCTGGAAATATCATTTTGGCATGGAGGATAGGTGCAGATAGGGGCATGCATGGCAAGAGGCGGGCTGACTAGTTAGGAGGCTGTTAGGTGAGCTAAACCAGGACAGTGGCTGCCAACAGTCTTACAGAGAAGGTAGGGGTGGGTTTGGAAGAGATTGGCCTAAAGCACAAATGCAGGACTCATGCTGAGGATGGGCTGCACTATGCATGAATGCTCCCCAGAGCAGGTGGGTGTTACAGAGCTGGGGCTTGCGGAAAGTAGGGCAGAGCACCCAGGTGGAGCTGCAGAAGGCAGCAAGCTGAGTGGAACCTGGGGAGGCTAGGCAGGGCTGGTAAAGACAGAGCAGCTCCCTGTACCAGAGGCCAGGGAAGGAACCCAGGGACACTAAGGTCTGGACAGTCCCTTGATTAAGCATGGTGTTTTGGAAGAAGTTCAAAACTTGCATGAAATGGCTAAAATGAAGGACTTAACGCTTTAAGAACCAGGAAGGAAGGAGTGGTTTGGAGAAGGAAGAAGCACATTGTGATGATCAGTAAGGTACAAGGGTGAGGAATTAAATACAATCCTGAGGCTTGTGTTTTAAAGCCCAGGAGTGGGGATTATCCTCTTTCACTACCAAGGTGGCTTTTGGGGAGAGGGTTTTATAACCCTATTACTTTTAGGATGACAGTAACTATCTAGTTAGAAAAATGTCTTGTATTGAAGATTACACAGGTAGTTGTAACCCTAGTTATATAGGAAAGCAGAAAAGTTCTTAGGTTAGATTTGGTTTATCTCCTGCAAGCCTGTAGTTCCTACTGTGTGATCATTTGGAATGATTTTTGTTAAATCTGGCTTGCTGGAGGGAATTTTCTCTCCCCCATCATTTCTAAACTTCTCATTTTAAATGATTTACTTCTCAGGTCGGATGTACATCTAGTGATTTATAGCTCTGCCCATATCACATTATCACAACATGTAATACTAAAAAACATTTATTTCAGCAAATATTTATTATGCATCTACTATGTACCAAGCCTTGATTAGATACAGAAGTTGTTTCAAGAAGCTAGGACAAAGCCCCCCTCCTCATGTACACATATCTGATGTTGAGAGACCATGATAAATATTACCGAAGAGAGATCAATGCAACAAGACCAGGGGAAGTTACAGTGAACCAAGGCGAGTCCAGCTGGGCACAGCCCTGGGGGCTGGTGAGGACCTCAGTCAGGTGGGAGGAGAGGCACAAGAGGTCTGGGAGAGCAGAGGGACTGGGAGACAGAGGGCCCAGTGCCTGGGGTGAGAAGGCTCCCTTGGCCTTGGGGCTGCAGGTGAGGTTGGCAGGGCCACTGAGCCCTGTGAGGGCTCCTTGCCCAAAGCTCAGCCTACACATCATTGGATGAGGAGTGAATTTTCCTCCGACTCCCCATCCCAGGGATGCTGTAACAGCCCACTGCTCAAGCTCCTCGTAGTAGACACTTCACAGAGCCCAGGCTTTGGAGATGCCGTGGCCGCCCTAGATCCACCTGTGTTTTCTTAGACACAGGGTCCTTCCCTGAGCTGCAGGCTGCCGATGCCTGAGAGGTCACACCTTCACCTTCGAGGTGATTCGTTTTTCTCTTCTGTTCCAGGAGATGCCAACAGACAAATTAGTGAGTACAAGTTTAAGCTTTCGAAAGCAGAACAGGATATAACGACTTTGGAGCAAAGTGTACGTACTACTTCTGTATGGTGCCACGTGACTTACGTTCCCTTTAAAACATCTGCTTCCTGCATCTAAGTTGCTGAGCCCACGAGTGCCTAGGTTTCTCTGGACTGTGTTTGCAGTTGTATCCTTATAAAAGTGGAAAAGTTGGCAGAGAACACTGGCAGGGCACTTCAGCCTTGTTTTCTATAAAAATGTAGAACGCTGTAGCTATAAGTCTGTTTTTGTAGATATTTCAGAATTCAAAATCAAAGTTTATGACAAATATCCATCCCTATTGTACATTTCAAAGTCTAAAAACTTTTCCCTCCTCTGATGTTGCTTTGGCACTTAAGCAACATGGCCATCATGAAACTTAACATGGGAAACTGGCCCTGTAACGACTCTCCAGCTGTAGTCCTCTCTGGGGACACTTCTTGATTTATAAATAGAAGCTGGGTGCTGGGAGGCCCTGTGACTCATGCTGAGAGGATTTGTGTTAGATTACTTGGAATTTGTAATGACATTGTATTTCCATCTGGGCTGTGAAAAACTGGCTCCTAGTGCCCAACACGAAAGAGAGACCTGTGTTCTTATATTTACAGATTGGCCGGCTGGAGGGGCAGGTGCTGAGGTATAAGACTGCTGCTGAGAATGCCGAGAAAGTGGAGGATGAACTGAAAGCAGAAAAGAGGAAGCTGCAACGAGAGGTACCTGGTTAACATGATTCTTAGGATACATTCCTAAAAAGAAAGTCCTTTGGAAATCAATTTTTTGCTGCACAAGGAATTTAATCCTGGGTCCAATCTGGAGGAAGCAGCAGTGGGGTGTTACTTGTATGCTGGATGGTGGTCCACAGTGACTGCCATTTATTTTTTGGTCAGTTAGATAGTAAGAAAAGGTAGTTTTCATGTTCGTCTTAGATCAGGTTTCTTAGCTCCTGTATGCCTCCGTAATTGGCGGCCTACATCATGGTGTAGCAGCTGGCCAGCTGAAAGAGAGGCAGGTTGGGGGACCCTCTGTGATAACAGTGCTCCCCCCAGGAGCTACGGCTGGGAGTAGCGCCGGGTGTTCTGATTGCATGAGGTGATGGGTTCTTCTGTCTCCAGTTACGAACAGCGCTGGACAAGATCGAGGAGATGGAGATGACCAACAGTCACCTGGCCAAGCGGCTGGAGAAGATGAAGGCCAACAGGACAGCGTTGCTGGCACAGCAGTAGACAGGGAGGCCCCACCCAGCGGGGCTGCTGTTCTGTCCACCCACACAAACCCCTTTCCGTACTGTTTTGAGTTTGGTCATTCAAGTAGCCACCTTTGTATTTTATAATTTATGAGAGAATGAAACCAGTTTGAATCTTCATGAATGAACACTTGGGATTTTATTTGTAGTTTGATTCTAGACTAAGAACTGGTGTATGCTGTTTTTTTTTATTTCCGTAATTTTAGAATCAAGTTTACTCACCGTTCTTCCCCTGCTGCCCTGGTGACTGGGCGCGGAGGCCCTGGCACAAGATCTGGAGGACAGCGACTCTGAGTGCTCACTGGGGTACTCGCTGGAGACTCAGAAACTCAAGTGCCTTCTCCACGGTGCAGTTCAGACTTCAGTGACCTCCAGTGGCCAAAAGACATTTACCCTTCGTATCAGATAGCATTTCTATTTTAGTGAAGAGATGAGTTCACAGGTGGGGAATATGTTTCACTCAAATTTATATGTTTGGAGGAAAAAGCCTTTTTTTGTAAAATATTTAAATTTATATAAGAAAATGTTAGAAAAAGATATGGGGGGTGTATATAAAACTTGCTTTATTGCATGCGGCAGGGGAAGTCCAAGGTTTAATACATACTCTCAGAGAGAATAGAGGCCTTGGTCTTCAGCGTCGGCTGTGCTGTACCTTTTAAAGCATTTCATCTGCTGCTTATTTGTGGAATGAGACCTCAGACAAGCCCAGGGGGAGGGAGGGGCAGGGCAGACAGGTGGGGAGTCTGCCTGAAGAGTCTATTAAACACACTCTTTTGCTGACCACAGTTGGCTACAGACACATTCATTTTGTTAGAGGAGCCTTTAAAGCGAATTATGGCAGCCACGTCCCTCTTTTCTCTCCTTCCTAACGAAAAATAATCTGGACTACAGAACTTTTTCAGAATTTTGGTTTCATCTTTAAAGGTACTCAGTTCAGGAGGTTTTTATCATTGACTATGGTTTCTTTACGATTTGTCATTCTCTTCTGCTTTCAGAATCAAGGTGGTTTTATGAAATGATAATTGTATCTTCAATGTGTTTACACAGAAAAAGTATTGGGAAAAGGTTAATGAATCAAGGCCACATAAGAATTTGTAATGACATTGTATTTCCATCTGGGCTGCGAAAAACTGGCTCCTAGTGCCCAACACGAAAGAGAGACCTGTGTTCTTATATTTACAGATTGGCCGGCTGGAGGGGCAGGTGCTGAGGTATAAGACTGCTGCTGAGAATGCCGAGAAAGTGGAGGATGAACTGAAAGCAGAAAAGAGGAAGCTGCAACGAGAGGTACCTGGTTAACATGATTCTTAGGATACATTCCTAAAAAGAAAGTCCTTTGGAAATCAATTTTTTGCTGCACAAGGAATTTAATCCTGGGTCCAATCTGGAGGAAGCAGCAGTGGGGTGTTACTTGTATGCTGGATGGTGGTCCACAGTGACTGCCATTTATTTTTTGGTCAGTTAGATAGTAAGAAAAGGTAGTTTTCATGTTCGTCTTAGATCAGGTTTCTTAGCTCCTGTATGCCTCCGTAATTGGCGGCCTACATCATGGTGTAGCAGCTGGCCAGCTGAAAGAGAGGCAGGTTGGGGGACCCTCTGTGATAACAGTGCTCCCCCCAGGAGCTACGGCTGGAGTAGCGCCGGGTGTTCTGATTGCATGAGGTGATGGGTTCTTCTGTCTCCAGTTACGAACGGCGCTGGACAAGATCGAGGAGATGGAGATGACCAACAGTCACCTGGCCAAGCGGCTGGAGAAGATGAAGGCCAACAGGACAGCGTTGCTGGCACAGCAGTAGACAGGGAGGCCCCACCCAGCGGGGCTGCTGTTCTGTCCACCCACACAAACCCCTTTCCGTACTGTTTTGAGTTTGGTCATTCAAGTAGCCACCTTTGTATTTTATAATTTATGAGAGAATGAAACCAGTTTGAATCTTCATGAATGAACACTTGGGATTTTATTTGTAGTTTGATTCTAGACTAAGAACTGGTGTATGCTGTTTTTTTTTATTTCCGTAATTTTAGAATCAAGTTTACTCACCGTTCTTCCCCTGCTGCCCTGGTGACTGGGCGCGGAGGCCCTGGCACAAGATCTGGAGGACAGCGACTCTGAGTGCTCACTGGGGTACTCGCTGGAGACTCAGAAACTCAAGTGCCTTCTCCACGGTGCAGTTCAGACTTCAGTGACCTCCAGTGGCCAAAAGACATTTACCCTTCGTATCAGATAGCATTTCTATTTTAGTGAAGAGATGAGTTCACAGGTGGGGAATATGTTTCACTCAAATTTATATGTTTGGAGGAAAAAGCCTTTTTTTGTAAAATATTTAAATTTATATAAGAAAATGTTAGAAAAAGATATGGGGAGTGTATATAAAACTTGCTTTATTGCATGCGGCAGGGGAAGTCCAAGGTTTAATACATACTCTCAGAGAGAATAGAGGCCTTGGTCTTCAGCGTCGGCTGTGCTGTACCTTTTAAAGCATTTCATCTGCTGCTTATTTGTGGAATGAGACCTCAGACAAGCCCAGGGGGAGGGAGGGGCAGGGCAGACAGGTGGGGAGTCTGCCTGAAGAGTCTATTAAACACACTCTTTTGCTGACCACAGTTGGCTACAGACACATTCATTTTGTTAGAGGAGCCTTTAAAGCGAATTATGGCAGCCACGTCCCTCTTTTCTCTCCTTCCTAACGAAAAATAATCTGGACTACAGAACTTTTTCAGAATTTTGGTTTCATCTTTAAAGGTACTCAGTTCAGGAGGTTTTTATCATTGACTATGGTTTCTTTACGATTTGTCATTCTCTTCTGCTTTCAGAATCAAGGTGGTTTTATGAAATGATAATTGTATCTTCAATGTGTTTACACAGAAAAAGTATTGGGAAAAGGTTAATGAATCAAGGCCACATAAGATAATAAAATTAGACTTGACACTAGATAATAAAGCCAACTTAGATGTGAATAAAATATCCAGTGATTATTCCCTTCAGGTAATTAGCCCTTTGTTTTCAAAATATGGAAACCAATCTCCTGAACTGAGATGATTTTCTCTAAATTTCCTTTCTAGTAGTAGCAGTTGCTGTATGGGCGTGGGGGGTGAAGGGGACGGAATGCAGATTTATCCCAGAACCCACTGCGGAACCAACACCCTGGGCAGTCCAGCTCTGAGGCCCAGGAAACCCTGCTGTCTCCCCACTATGGCCGAATCGGCCTCTGCCATGCCCGGGCTCAGAGTGTCACTTCCGAGATGCCTGGAAGTTCTAAGTGTTAGAACCTGAGCTTGTCTCCTTAGTGGAACAATAACAGTCCCTTCTGTTATGTTGTTCCTGTCTTTTCCAAACGGAATGGCTCCAGTACTTTCATACAAGAAAGTTTTCTGTTCTTTTCCAAAAATTTTCATCATTAAGTCTGGTAATCAGGATTTTGACTCAAAACTATAGGCATTCTTCCCTGTGCTGGTTGTGCAGGTCTCCTAGTGCAAGCTAACCTGAAGGTAGCTTATTTTAGTGGCACTTTACATAATGGCACATAGTATAGTTTATACTTTTACACCATCCTTCAAATAAGAATATCTAAAACTTTATCTTAAGCTGGAAATATTCATAGCCATTAACAAAGTGGACTAATTTAAAAATTCACTCCAGTTCTAGACTGGAAAAGAACTATTTCTTCTCGAGTTTTTTACATTAAGAATGAATGAATTAGTGTTGGTTACTAATGGTACCAACAGATTATCAGTTCCATTTTCTCCATAATCCATGTCACCAGAGCCTCTTAGGTGTTCAGGACCTCTTCTAAAAGGGCATCTGAATCAACTCAGTATTTATCACCTGGTACTAGAAATTTATCAGAAGATGGATGACAGAAAAGAATCAAACAAGAGCCTCATCTGTGAAATCATCAAGGACTTCTTAGAATTTCTGTAAAATGCACAAAGGATTTCAAACTAATTTTGGGATTCTCTGAAACAGTGGAATATGTACTAGGTGAAAACCAATCTAGAAAAACTTCCAGTGAAATTAAGAAATCATGTTAGGACACAACTATTTATTTACAGTCAATCTGCCACACACTAAGAATGCTACTTAGAACAGTCAGAAGACAAATTTGAGTCTCCAACCGTAAGACCTACCAACATCAGGATGCAAAGGAAGAACACAGCCCAGAGCCCATAAATGACTATTTAGCACCTCTCAAAGACTTTGTACAGATCAGGCAAGTTGGCAAGCTGCAGAATATTACCATCCTCCGTGAAGTGTTTAGGAGGCAGAAGGTATGAGCGGAAGGCTTTATAGACGACATGTTCCACGGTCCACTTCCAGGGGTTCGGAGTGGTGCCAGGCTGCTCACTCTGAAAAAGACATGTCAGATGTCATAAGCCTCCACACTTGCATCCCAGTGGACACTGGTTTCCCGGCCGATGTGTGCTGGGCCTGGAATGTCTTGGTGGCTTACAATGGGCTGCTAGGAGAAGCATCCTCCTAGGTCAGCCTCTCAGGGATCCTACAGGCCTAACACAAGAGGTGAGGTGAGGGAAAAGAAGAAGCTGCTGCTGCCCTCCTCAGCCTTTCTCCCATGGAACCTTGGCTCCATTCAAGGAGACTGTTTACTGTAGCAGCATCTAACGTAATGTCCGATCCTGACGTGACGTCTGGGTGGCAATAGAAGGAAGTATATTCCTAACTCACCACTGAATTTGGGGGTCTTAATATGGCCCTGTTTTCTTAGGAGCTCCACAGGTAAGAAATGGAAATTACATCTAAGCCTCAGCTGTCTCATATATAAGAAAACATTTTTGTATACAAGACAGCAGAAGGTAAGACAACTCACGAGTAATAGCTGACCACTGTGTTTGAACTTATGTGCAAGCCTGGCAACTCAGAGATGGCAAGTTTGTCTTCTAAAGACTGCGTGAGGGCCCTTCCCAGCACCGGAGGAGCTGATGAACATTGCAGTATACCTGCTGGCCTGAGAGGGTGGACTCCTCACACACATACTGCTTCCGGATGGAGTAAAACATAGCACATTCTTTACTGAGGCTTTCAAAACATTCCTTTTCTTCATCCCAATTCACCTGGTCCAAAGAGAGAATTCAATACCTCAACATGAGTGTGTGCTTTAATAAACACATTTCATTTCTAAATGGAGCTCAGAGATTACTTAAAGCTAAGAAAAGGAAATGTGACTTTGGGGCACTGCATCGTAAATCAGTACTGTGCAGTGCCAGGGGCAGGTAGAGATGAGGGGCCTTCAGCTTTACCCTCCCATCCTACCTGTCCATGGGACAGCCCTCTCCCTCCAGCACGTATCTACATACTCAGTACTGGCTTCATCACTTGCCTCAGTGGCTAACCGAAGAATGAAGACAGGCAGACCCTCCAAAGGGGGCACATAGTTGTCAATCAGCAGGGGTAATCCAATCAGGTTCCCTTCCTGCTTGTGGAAAGGATAGGGTAAGGGGTCAAGAGATAATGATGTTACAATATGAACAAATTCCATCTCCCCAGTGCTCCTCCAAGTCTTGTCCTACCTGCCACTGCGGGTGAGCAGTGCTTGACTCGGCTGGGCACTGGGGGCAGGAGAGCAAAGCACTTAAAAAGCTTATTGTCCTGATGTGTAGCAGAACAACTATTTCTTCAGATCTGGTCACCAACCAAAGAACACATCCATATGGAAAGCCCCAAAGATCAAGGGGAAAGAGGAAAAAAACAGGAAGAGCAAGTGCTTGAAATAATCTCATAATCTCATTCACCGTGGCCTGAGGGAGTGTGGAATTTGGCTCTTCCTCATGTCTGGGTCCTTTACCCTGGGAACAGGAATGGGCATGAATGGATGATACAACAGTTGTGTAACCTAGAAGTGGAAATGGGGAGTGAAAAGGATGTGAACGTTTATGTCATGTGCCGCTTCTCAGGAGAGCCTGGCCTTCTTGTCTTGATCTTGGACCAACTACAGAACTTGATTCTTAACCAAAGAACACAACAGAGGCATAAAAATGACTGTCACACACATACCTACCTCGATTTCCAAAGAGAAGTAGTCGGCAAGCATCTCAGCCTTCTTCTTCAGAAACTCAACAATGTATTCAGCAAGTCCTTCTTTGGGACCATCTTCCTCCGTCCAGCCACTCTCAGGACTGTCTAAGGCAAGCATGGCGAGGTCAAAGAGTGGTGCAGGCTCCTAGGAAGGAGGAAGTGTTAACAGTGCTTCCAAACGAAGCCTCAATTAATTCCCGCAAAGCCACGATCACAGCGGCAGCTGAGAAACCCAAAACCGAACACTCACTTTCTATCTCCCCCAAAGAGACACCAGAAAGCCCTTCCTCCTCACCAATGGCCATCTTAACAGAGAGGACTGTGAACTAGAAGCCTCTGACCATGTGGAGGCACTCTCCGGTCTAAGGACTCCACTTTTGTATTTCTAGAAAAATCACTTGGCAGGAAATTTCTTTCTACTGCCTCACGGATCATTAAACATTAAAGCAAAGGGGAGGGAGAAAAAGTTAATGACATTTCAGGTAAATGTGATTAGGAGGGTTGAAATCTTGTCAAATGAAAGATGCCTAAATGTTCTTCCATTTCTCCTCTTCTGACACTGTTACTAAGTACTTTATATACATTATAAAATCATAATGCACTTATTTTTTCATAACAATAGAGGAGTCAGTCCTAATAATCCTAAATGTTTATGCATTCAGTAACAGAGCTTTAAAATATGATGGATAAAATGAAAACTGCAAACAGTAAAATAGACAAATTGACAATTATAGCTGGAGGTTTTAGTATCCCTTTTTCAGTAACTGACAGAACAAGTAGACAGAACATCAGGATACAGAAGATTTGAGCATCACTATCAACCCAATATACTTGCCATTTATGGAACATTCTACTCAATAAGACCAGAATACAATGCACATGAACATTTACCAACAAATCATATTCTGGGCCATAAAACAAGTCTCAAGACTTAGTGTAAAAGGATTCAAGCATGTTCTCTGACCAAAATGGAATTAGAAATCAGTAACAGATCTCCAGAAAATCTCCAAGTAATTGGAAAGAACAAACTTGTAAATAACTTGTGTGTTGAAGAAGAAATAAAAAGGGAAATTAGAAAGAGTTGACCCTTGAATAACATAGGTTTGAACTGCACTGTTCTACTTATATGTGAATTTTTTTCTATAAGAATATCAGAAGCATTTTTGGAGATTTGCCACCATTTGAAAAAACATTTTCTCTAGTTTTTTATTGTAAAAATACATAAAAATATATATAATACATGTAACATACAAAATATCTGTTAACTGACTTTATGTTATCAGTAAGGTCAGCAGTAAGTAGTAACATTTTGGAGAGTCAGTAGGCAGCTCTTTGCATGGGAGAGTCAACCCTCCTACTGGTGGTGGTCAAGGGTTAACTGTTTTGAACTGGATGAACATGAAAACAACTTATCAATACTTGTAGGAGGCTACTAATGTAGTACTTATGGCAAATTTATAGCACTTAAGGCCTTTATTAGAAAAGGAGAAAGGTGTCAAATCAATGACCTTGGCTTTCATATTAAGAAATGTGAAAGAGCAAATTAAACCTAAAACAAACAGAAAAAAGGAAATAATAAAGATCAGAGCAGATACCAATGAAATAGAAAACAGGAAAACAATAAAAAACAATGAAACTAACAGTCAATTCTTTGAGATCAATAAAACTGATAAACCTCTAGCCAGACTGGTCAAATTAAAAACAGAACATAAACTACCAATTTTAGGAATGAGGACCTACAGAAATTAAAAGAAAAAAAATTATATTAACAACTTCATACCAAAAATTTGAAAACTTAAATGGACAAATTCCTTGAAACAAAATACCAAAGCTCACTCAAGAAGGAAGGGCTACATGAGTGGCTAGGAAAGAAGTTGAACTTGTAGTTAAAAACCTTCCCATGAGCAACTCTCCAGTCTCAGATGGCTTCAGTGGTAAATTCTACCAAACATTTAAGGAATAACACTAATTCTACACAAACTCATTCATAAGATGGAAAAGGTGGGAATACTTCCCAACTTAATCTATGATACCAGCATAACCTTAGTATCAAAACCTGACAAATACAATAACATTCATGAACATACATGTAAGAACTATAAATAAAACTTTAGCAAGTCAACTCCAATAATATATAAAAAGGACAATATATAATGTACAAGAAGGGTCATCCAAGGAAGGTAAGACTGGCTCATTAACATGAAAATCAAAGCAAGTCACTATATTAACAGACTGAAAACAACCCATACTATTATCTTAACAGATGCAGAAAAAGCATTTGAAAAAATTCAACATCCATTTCTCAATAAAAACTCTGAAGAGCCAGGGTATAGAAGGGAACTTAGCCTCATGGGGTATCTGCAAAATACCTACCAATGGCAGAAAGCATCCATAATGGTGAAAGGCTGAAGGCTTTTCCCCTAAGGTCAGGAGAAGGATTTCATTCTTGCCATTTCTATGCAACACTGCACTAAAGTTCTAACCAGTGCAATTGAGTGAGAGAAAGGCCGTCCACCAGATTGGAAAGGAAGAAATAACTGTCTTTCTTCAAATGCCATAATCATCTATGTAGAAAATCTGATGGTAGCTATAAAAAAGCTACTAGAGTGAGTTTAGCAAGGTTGCAAGCTACATCAGTGTACAAAAATATGGTGTACTAGCAACAATTGGAAAATTTTTTAAAAAGCCATTTATAGTAACATCAAAAAATGTGAAATAAGGGGTAAATCTAACAGATTTTCTCCCCAAACTGATCTACAGATTCAACACAATCCCATCAAAAATCCCAGAAGGCGTTTTTGCACAGTATGTCAGATGTAAAAAGAAGTTATGAAACAATATAGATAATATAAATTTTAACTCTAAATTACAATTAGGTAATGAAAAGGTCCTGGAAGAAATAGACTAAAATTGTTGAGAGTTGTGTATGGGTCACAGGTTTTAGAGAATGTTTTTATTTTTATCTTTTCCCAAGTTTTCTTAAGTAGATCTGTATTAACTTCTATAATAATAAACATTTGTTTAAGCTGACTACCAAATGACTGACTGTTCTGGGTTGTATAAAATTGTATTATAGCTAAAGTTATGTAAATCATACAATACAAAACTACCCAAAGCAAATCTAGAAAAATATAATATACAAACATTATATCAGGGTAGTATTACTTTCAGAAATTACCAGTTGTTGAATTCATTTCAGAAATGAGAAGTAGGAAATAAACTTACCGATAATCTCAGAACACCAAAATTGGCAAAATCATAAATGAGTATCTGGTAGAACAATTCTTCACTGAAAATAAAAATGAAGTGATTTTAAGGAAAAGCTGAATCCACACTTGCGAGCCCAGCAGCTGGGACAAATGGGAAAAGTAATCTGAAACATGAATGGGACGAAGAGATGGTTCTGCCTTGCTGTGGCACCTTTCTGACAGTCTACCAAGATCTGTTCTAGAAAGTTGTGATCCCAGGTGTGCTCCAGCACATCTTCGGCTGGCTGTCTCCACACCCAGGTTAGAGCACTCAGATAAGTGGCTTACTAACACCCCTGCTCTGTCCCCACTCCTCTGGTGCTGTGAAAGGTTTCTGACATCCTGGAGGTGAAATTTAAGGAGTTTTTGTTTATTTGCCCTTTTTCCCCTTTACAAAGAATCCTATAAATCACTCTTTTAACAAAATTCACCATGAAAAATGATACAGAATGCATAAGGAGGGCAGGCAGACACCCTAAATAATCAGAAGTGGATATAAGGCAGAATTAGACTACATGACATGGTTGAGGGTGAAGCACTGGCTGGCAACATTCCAAAGGCAGCTAGGAATGCACAACATACTGGGCTACTTACAGAACACAGAACTTACATCAACAGTACTTTACAGTTCTTCAAGCAAGTTGCACCACACAGGTCTTGTTTAAAGACTTCACTACCAAAGTAGGCAAAGCATCTGCTAACCTGCATTACGTGGGGAAACTGAGGCAGCCAGTGAATAACTGACTTGTTCCAGATCAGAGTCGGTAAAGTGGGAAAGGAATGGTTGACTCCAGATGTTACACTTAGCCTGGTTCTGTTTTTTTTATCTTCTCGTTGGGAAGCCATTCACGTTTATTAATGGCTGAAATTCTGGGACTGGCCTGGATTTCTATCTGTGAGATCAAAGAGTCTGAACACAGTTATGATTTGGGGCCTTGGAAATCATGCACTTAGATATGCTGGAAAAGGAAAAACAAGGAAGTAGAATTCCTAACAAGAGCTCCCTCCACAAGCCCAAAGATTCTAGCAGCAAAGGCAGTGGCTTGGACAGATCTGCACCAAAAGGGTTCCAAGCCTCAGAGGACTAAGTGTGTGTGCCCCTGGTGAGCTCCTGGCCTGGGGCAATGTAGGTGAGGAGAGCAAATGGGTCTTCATCTTAGGTGCCAACTCCAAGCAACACACAGTGGCCCCCCACTCATGGGGCTGAGAAGCACGCACTGGGCGGCAGTCGCAGGGCTCAGTGCCAAGGAGTCCCAAGGGAACAAGGATGCTAACAGCTGCAAGGCCACAGCAGCCTCCCATCTGCACTACCTGTTTGAGAACATATTTAAGACAGGTTCTAAACAAACCAGGCTCATCCACCAGGGTCCCTGGAACACTTGATAAAAATGGCTGGGCTATGCACTGGGCAAACCATACTGCTGGGACCACCCTCCCTGTGCTCGTCAGCCCCAATGGCTTCGTCTGGCGGGTGCAATGAGCCTTTACTGCATTTGCAGAGGAGGGTAGGGCAGCAGCCCCCTTTCTTAGATGCCCAGCCCTGTTCCGCAGAGCAGACACTCTGAGTCACTAGCGTGCTGAGTCCCTAGCACCTGCTTACAGCTGCCAGCATGGACGAAGCACCAAGCACTTCCCAGACACTGGGTTTCATGCCATTTCTCATCATGAAACCCTGGATGCAGTAATGTCCCAATTTGCTGATGGGAAATCTGAGCTGTAGTTTAGAGGGGTCACCTGTCCATGGTCACACAAATAGGAAAGAGATGAGCCTGTACTTGAAACCACATCTGTGTGACCCGATCCTGGGCCCAGGCCCTGCACTGTACACTCCGGCTGTTTAGGCCTGCACCAGCCAGCCATTCTCCCTGCAGCTCTGCACTGTTCCCACCCCACTGTCCTACCTGAGTTTGGTGGTGTTGAGGAGGTATAACTTGGTCTGATGCTGCGCCAAGGCCCACTGAGGATTCACACAGCCCACAAAGGAGTGGTTACGCAGCATTTCCCGGAGAGCTGGAAAACAAACAGCACGTGAGGAACAGCATCCCACCGGCACCTTGTGCAGCTGAAAGCACCAAGCACCACAATGAGAGGCAATGAACAAGCAGAGCTTCCTGGACCGAGCCTTGTGCTGAAAAGACACACAATGAGGAATAAGATAGTCTTTCAAAATACAACAGGGAATTGCCAGAAGATTAAGGAATACTCAAAGGTTACAACCGAAGATAAAGCGGGAAGCCAGCGAGCAATGAGAGCACTGAAGCCAGCCTCAGAGACTAGAGGAATCTCATGAACCATGAATTTTGGTTTTTGCAGGCTCTGAGGTATGGAGAAAGACAAAAATCTAGGAATGATGTGACATGGGGAATCTTAACAGGAGACCATTTCCCCAACATGTAAAGCTGAGACCCCTCAGTGTGAAAGAAAAGAAATACTAACGTGGCCATGCCCTCCCTCAGGCCCCTCAAAGGGCTGTGGGCAGATGTGCCCCGCCCACCTCAAGCCTTGGTGTTGGGAGCAAAGAAAAGACACACCCCTGAGAATTTATAACTGTAAATTGCTTCTCACATGTTTCTGCAGCCTGGGTTCAGACTTAAACAGGTTGTCTGAAAACCTTAAGTGGAGATTTTAGTTTAAGTTGATTCCAGGGCTGACTGTTCCTCCAGGTTCCTGATAGAATCATGAAAATTCGCTCTGGAGAAACTAATTTTCACTTAAGTAATTCTCCACAAATAAAGTATCAGGAACTAGCAGACAAAAAAAAATCACAAAATGCACAAAGGAACAAGGTACTTAGAATCCAGAAGAAACCACAGAATCATATTTGCAAATGTTTTAGATACTAGAAACATCACTAAGCAGATGAAATAAGTATGTTCAGTATGCTTTAGAGGTATTAAAATTATTATTATATATAAAATTACTATTATTCATTATAAGCATCAGGAAACTATACAAAATGATCAAGGAGATTTCTAAAAAAACCCAATAAATTTCTCAAAATGAAAAATACAGTAATTGAAATTAAGTTCAAGATAGACTATCCAAAAGATTAGACAAGATGGCAAGGTAATTAACTGGAAGATAGATCTAAATTTATCCAGAATGCAGCATGGAGAAACAGAGAGATGGAAAGTATGAACAATAACCCACACAATGGAGGGTAACAGACATGTAACTCAAGTTCCAGAAGGGACGAGGGCTGGAGAAGGGAGGGAGGAACAATGTTTGTAGACTTTGAAGATAAAATATCTGAGAATATCCCGGAAGTGGTAAAAGACACCAAGCCTCAGTTCCAGGAAGCCCAACAAAATCCACACCTGGCATTAGAGATACTGCAGGACTGTACAGAAAAGAGATCTTTAAAACACTCCAGAAACAGAGATTACCACAAAGCAGTAAATGGAAGGCTGAAAGCTGAATTTTCAGCTTTAACAGCAGAAGCCAGAAAATGATAAGAGTAACATCTTAAATGCACTATGAAAAGACTGCCAATCTGGATTAAAACCCAGCAAATAACTTCTAAGTAAGGATAAGTTAGACAAAGCAAAACTTAGTTTGCCACCCAAGGCCCCACAAAAGGACATGCTTCAGGCAGACCATGAAAGATCTAAGGGGGAGAAGTATGAGTGAATAATATTCTCCACATCCAAACAAACTGATAACAATGTCCTAATGAAACAATTTGATATTCACATGGAAACTAGTATTCACTATGGTAAATCTATCACTATATGCCAAAAATGAATTACAGGTGGGCAAGAGATTACGTATAAGCATTTAAGGAACAATATAAGAGCATATCTTTAATTATCCCAGAGCTAGGAATGTGGATTGCCTAAGTACGATTTAAAAGACAATCTGTAAAGAACAATTTATAAAATCTGCCTACATTAAATCTAATTTCTGTTCATTAACACAAGTGTTCACACAAAAAAAGAGAAAAAAAAAGATGAGCCCTAAACAGAGGGAAAATATTTTCATGTAACTGATTAGTATCTGCAATATATAAAAAATTCCTAAAATCAGATTAAAAAGACCAAAAATCCAATTTAAAAAATGGGCAAAAAACTTGAACAGGCATTTAACAGAAGAGGAAATATACTTAATTCAACTTTATTAGTAGACAAGGAAATGCAAATAAAACCACCATCAGAGGAATAAAGATGGCAGCATGAGAGGTGAGACAGAGACCTCCTCCTAAAACCACATATAATATGAAAATATAATTAATACAACTAATCCTGAAAGAGCAATAGGAAAGAAGGCTGCACCAGATTGCATACACCTAGAGAAAAAACAGATCTCATGAAACAGGGTAATGTACCAAAGCCTGACCCAGTGGGACTCAAGCCCTTCCCCCATTCCAGCTCACTGGCAGGAGGAAGATAAATGGAGCAGGGAGGGAGTGGAGGCCTGGGACTACTGAACACCCAGCCCTGGAGATCTGCTCTGGGAGCGTGAACCTACATTGCATGGTGCTCTGGTGGTTAGTGGGGTTGGAAAGTTAAGACAGGCTGAATACCTGGAGAGACTGAGATTCCAGCAGTTTCTGGAAAATAGGGAACCATACCCAGCTGACCTGGGCAGGTAGTCTGAAAGACTTTCTAAAAGCAAGAGGGCTGCTAAAAGGGCAAGGATTGCAGAGAGCTTACTGCTCAGGAGAAAGGACAGGTAGACAAATTGTCTGGGTGCACTCTGCCGGGCAGGTTGGGAACTTTCACTATCTTCAGGTGCTCCATCCCCCTGGCTGGCTACACAGCTCTAAGCCCTTCCCACCACCCACCGTGATATGCACTACTGCGCCTTCCTCCAGGCCAGCCTGCACATGGCTTGCAAACTGGCAACCCCTGCACTGGCATCAGGCCAACCAGAGGGAAGCCCCACCTATAGCCGCTACAAACACAAAGAATAGAGGCTTACACACCTGTGTGTTCAGCCCACTGGTTCTGGCCGTGGAGACAGGCATAGCAGCTGTGAAGCAAGAAATAGATCTTTCTTCCCTCCAGGCACCAGCACCACTCCCCTGCAACTGCCAACATCGCTCCAGGGGCTGAGCAAGTCCAGAGAATAGAGCTTCAGGGCACTAGAAAGCACCACATACAAATATGAAATATCAAAGGAACCTGGTTCAAAGCAAAATCTCAACAACACCAGAAAATGAGTTGAGTTGAGACCAAACTAATCAATCTTCCTGAAAGAGATTTCAAAATAAAAATCATAAACATGCCATGGAGGTACAGAAAAATATTCAAGAACTCAGTAACAAATTTAGGACAGAGATCCAATCACTGAGGAACATAATGGAGGGTTTTAAAAGCAGATTAGATATAGTGGAGGAGACGATAAATAAAATAGAAACTAGAGAAGAGGAATACAAAGAAGCTGAGGCACAGAGAGAAAAAAGGATCTCTAAGAATGAAAGAATATTGAGAGAACTGTGTGATCAATCCAAATGGAACAATGTTCATATTATAGGGGTACCAGAAGAAGAGAGAAAAAGGGATAGAAAGTGTCTTTGAGGAAGTAATTGCTGAAACCTTCCCCATCTGGGGAAGGAGATAGTATTTCAGGCCATGGAGGTGCACAGACCCCCAACACAAGGGACCCAAGGAGGACAACACCAAGACATATAATAAATAAAATGGCAAAAAACAAGGATAAGGACAGACTATTAAAAGCAGCCAGAGAGAACAAAAAGATCACATACAAAGGAAAACCCATCAGGCTATCATCAGACTTCTCAGCAGAAACCTTACCGGCCAGAAGGGAGTGGCATGATGTATTTAATGCAATGAAGCAGAAGGGCCTGGAACCAAGAATACTCTGTCTGGCAAGATTATCATTTAAATTTGAAGGAGGGATTAAACAATTTCCACATAAGCAAAAACTGAGAGAATTTAGCTCCCACAAACTATCTCTACAGTGCATTTTGGAGGGACTGCTATAGATGGAAGTGTTCCTAAGGTGAAACAACTGTCACCAGAGGTAATAAGGGATAGACAAAGAGTACAGAATTTGATCCCTAATATATTAAGAATGGAGGAAGAAGAAAGGAGGGGAAAAAAAGAAACTTTAGATTGTGTTTTTAATAGCATACAAAGTGAGTTAAATTAGACTCTTAGATAGCAAGGAAGTTACCCTTGAACCTTTGGTATCCACGAACCTAAAGCCTGCCATGGCAATAAGTACATACCTGTCGATAATCACCCTAAATATAAATGGTCTGAATGCACCAATCAAAAGACACAGAGTCACTGAATGGATAAAAAACAAGACCCAACTATATGCTGCCTACAAGAGACTCACTTCAAACCCAAAGACATACACAGACTAAAAGTGAAGGGATGGAAAAAGATATTCCATACAACTAATAGGGAGAAAAAAGTAGGTGTTGCAGTACTTGTATCAAACAAAATAGACTTTAAAACAAATAAAGTCACAAGAGACAAAGAAGGACATTACATAATGATAAAGGGGTCAATCCAACAGGAGGATATAACCATTATAAATATCTATGCACCCAACACAGGAGCACCTACATATGTGAAACAAATTCTAACAGAATTCAAGGATGAAATAGAATGTAATGCATTCATTCTAGGAGACTTCAACACTCCACTCACTCCAAAGGACAGATCAACCAGACAAAATAAATAAGAAGACAGAGGCACTGAACAGAGGCATCAGAACAGATGGATCTAACAGACATCTACAGAACTCTCCATCCAAAAGCAGCACAATACACATTCTTCTCAAGTGCACAATGAACATTTTCAAGAAGAGATCATATACTAGGCCACAAAAAGAGCCTCAGTAAATTCAAAAAGATTGAATTTGTACCAACCAGCTTCTCAGACCACAAAGGTATGAAACTAGAAATAAATTATACAAAGAAAATGAAAAAGCCCACAAACACATACAGGCTTAATAACATGCTCCTAAATAATCAATGGATCAACGACCACATAAAAAGAGAGATCAAGCAATACATGTAGAAAAATGACAACAAT